CAGGAAGAACATATTAATGTCACTTAATTACGTAAGGATGGAATCAAATTGATAAATTGAAGTGAAACGGAGTCTTAAATCCCGCTTTTCTGCTCTACTTTGGGGAAGTGACATGCCATGCAGTATGTAATGGAGGTAAGTGGCATTAGCCTTTTCTTTTTCAATATCTCACTCTCAATCTTTATTGTACAGAGCCCAAGTTTACGGTCACACTCTGTCTTTGCTAAACACAAAAGATACAGAGCTACATCTTTACCTGATTTGTTGCATTTACATCTGCACCTATCTCTAACAATGTTTTTACAATATCTACATGTCCTCTTAGACTGGCATAAAGTAGGGCTGTATAATCAAACTGAAAACAAAAGGCTGTGAATGTTAAAGATAGATGACAGGCGCTGTATGTTTAATAAAGATGTCTAAATGAAATAGACCACGTTTTCTCTTTTATGACGAATTATTTTAATTTGTCGAGAGGTGGCTACAATATATATACGCAACAGACTGCAGGGTGTCTCTTATAGTTTCCATCTTCTTTACTGTATAAAATGATTCTCAAAATTTATGAAGTATAAAAACTTTGATATAAGAATTGAGGAATTGAAATAAAATGAATATTCTACTTTTCTGTTCCATATTAAATAGCGTTTTCTAATGAGACAAATTTTGTCAGAACAGCGGCATTAGTCTTCTCTTTTTGTTATTTCTACTGTCGAGAAATATTTATTGTACACAGCCTGTAGCACATGGGGCCTTGATCTATTGTCCCATCTGAACGAGTAGACGCATTTTCATGTCAGCCCCTCCGACCCGCATCACTGACAGAGGGAAACCAGGTTGGAAAATCCGAATCACTGACTGAGTCACCTAGACTCTCAACCAAAGCCTATTGAACACAGAGCCCATATTTTCCGTCACATCTGCACAAACTCTTTATTTGCCCTAATGATAATGATACCCTAGTAACAGCATTAAATTAACACCTCTTTTTTTACATTAACATCCATTTTTAGAGAGAACCAGCCCCTGTTTTTCTTCAAACAATAAGGAAGTTTTTGTATTTATTTTAGTTTCTTATGTCAGACTAAAATATTATAATACAGGCGATAGGTTTTATACGCTGGTATAAATAATGAATTATGGGTATTTATGGGTAGACTGCAATTTCGGTTCTTTTTTATTTTAGACATTTTCTATGTGGACTCTCGGAAAGAGATACAAATTTGATCAACCTAGATACAAAATGAATTAAAGTTATGAACAATTATTAGTCATGTGGACTCTCTGAAAGGAATGCCAAACCCAGTGACAACATACCTGAGATTGGGTGTTCACTTCAGCCGATTTAGCAAGTAATAAGTTCACTATATCTACATGACCGCTTTGAGATGCCATTCTTAAAGCTGTACTTCCTACCTGAAAAATAATATACCTCTGAGAGAAAATGTATGAGTGTTTCTTATAG